TCCAAAAAGAGGGGGTCGAAGGAGAAATATGAGAGAGGAGGAAAGAAAGTAAGACATGATTGGAGGAAAGAGAAAAAAGAGGGGATTGAATGAGATAGATAGGAAGAGGAGTGAGAGAAAAAACCGAGAGAATGAAGAGAGCGGATTGGATGAGAGACGAAAAATGTCAAAAAAAAGAGAGAAGGGGGAGATAGAAAAGAGAGAGATAGATTTGGAGTGAGAGGGGAGAAGGGAGAGAAAAGAAATGAGTGAGTTTAAATTTAAAAACTCTAAAAACTCACCTTTTGTTTTTTTAGAGTAGACTATATTTTTAAGTTAGTCTTGAGTTCAATTTTTGAAAATAGTCCTACCAAACAAGTTTTTAAGACCGAAAACTTAAAAATTATTTTTGAGTTTAAAACGTTTGAATTCTATTGAATAATTGTGATTTCATTTCTTAATGAATAAGATTACATTGTTGGTGTATATACAAACCATATAAAGCCTTGTACTTAGCACCTCATCTAACCAACATAAAGGACAGCTCACCTAACTAACCAAAAATATCCAAAACAAATATAACAGCTCTAAGTTTTATCCTTTACAGTATTATCTCTAATATTCCCCCTCAAATTGACCTGAGGTAGATGAAGTGATAATTTGTCTTTGAGAAGTAGAAATATGGCCTTAGGCAAGGATTTGGTGCAGAGATCAGCAAGCTGATCTTGTGAACAAACAATTTGAACTGATATATCATTAGACAACACTTTTTCCCTAATATAGTGATAATTGATTTCCACATGTTTAGTCCTTGCAGAAAGATTGGATTTTTGGCTAAAGATATAGCAAAAATATTGTCACACCATAGTTTAGGAGAACAAGGAAGAACCAATACAACATCAACCAATAATTGCAAAATTGACTGCAAAAGATAAATTAGGTCTGGACCAAGTTAAATATTGCAGTCCATCCACCAAAGATTTATATTCTGCAGGATTGGACAATAGTGGAGAAGTATGATCCAGTGAGGAAGTACTTAGAGGAGTAACACAAGGCTTAGCACCATCCATGTGTGTTTTCTTAAGTAAATCCAAGATATATTTGGTCTGAGAGATAAAAATTCCAGATTAGGACCTTTTGACTTCAATTCCAAGAAAAAAAATGTAATGGACCCAGTTCTTTAATTGGAAAGAGAGCACTGAGATGAGAAATTGTATCTTTGCAAGCTTGGGAATTGGGACCAGTGACAAGGATATCATCAACATACACCAAGATGAATACAAGAACATGAGTCTTTTTGACAAAGAGGGAGTGATCATTTTGAGATCCAAGAAAACCAAGTGAGGATAAAGCTTTGTTCAATTTTTCATACTAGGCTCGATGAGCCTGTGTTAGGCCATACAAAGATTTATGCAATTTGCACACATGATTAGCTTTGGAATAATCCTCAAATCCTGGAGGTTGAATCATAAACATTGACTTAGAAAGATTGCCATGGAGAAAGGCATTACTCACATCAAGTTGATTGAGAAACCAATTGAACTTTGATGCTAGAGTAAGAAGCAATCGAACTGTAATAGGTTTGGCTACAGAACTGAATGTTTCTGTATAGTCCAAGTCTTGTTGTTGATAGAATCCCTTTACAACTAAACGAGCTTTGAACCTATCTATAAAGCCATCAGGTTTTTGTTTGATTCTGAAAACTCATTTGCAGCCCACCAAATTCTAAGAAGGGTTAGAGGGAACTAGATACCAAGTGTCAGTACTGAGAAGTGTATTAAATTCCTTCTGCATAGCTTGTCTCCATTGAGGATATTTGGAGGCTTGAAGATAGGTAGAATGGGCTTGGACCTGGTTTGCATAGGATGTGTATTGGTTGGATCTGGTTTGGAGGCTTGGATCTAGTTTGCATAGGATGTGTGTTGGTTGCAAGAATGGGTTGAGTAAGTGGTTGTGGGAGTGGTGGATTAGATGATAAAGTGGGAGATGTGGGAATAGATATGGAAACAGGAATAGGTTGGGATATAGGTAAAGATGAGGCTGATGAATTGTTGGATTATAGTGGTGAACTTCTAGATGTAAAGGTTAAGGTTGATGGGATTGAGGTACTGAATGAAGGTACTGTGGCAGTAAGATTTGGAGATGTGGATATGTTTTGAAATGGAAAGTAATGCTTATTGAAGACAACATGTCTAAATACATGTATCTTCTTAGTACAAACATCCAGACACTTGTAGCCTTTATGTTTAAGGTTATAACCCAAAAATACACAGGATTGACTCTTTGTATCAAGCTTAGAATTGGTGTATAGCTTTAACCAAGGAAAGCATTGACAGCCAAAAATCCTAAAAGTAGAGTAATCTGGATTTCGATGAAAGAGGGATTCCTAATGTGAGTATATAAGTACAATAGGCATTTTGTTGATCAAGTACATGGCCGTAGAGAAAGCCTCAACCCAGTAGATATGTGGAACCTTAGAGGCTGCAAGAAAAGTCCTTGCAGTTTCAACAAGATGTATGTGCTTCCTCTCAGCACAACCATTTTGTTCTGGAGTGTGAGGGCAAATGAGTTGATGAGATATGCCATATTCTCTTAGAAAATTAGAGAATTGAGTGCTTATGAATTCGCCACCAGAGTTGGACCTTAAAGTAACAATCTTGGTAGATAAAAGATTTTCAACCATAGGCTTGAACTGAGTAAAGATGTCAAAAACTGCATATTTGTATTTAAGAGGAAAGAACCAACAATACTTGGTAAAGTCATTAACAAAGATGATGTAATATCTGAAACCATGCACAAAGAGAGTTGGTGATGGCCCCCATACATCAATATGTAATAGTTCCAGAGGTTTGCTTGTATTACAAGAAACAGAATGGAAGGGAAGTTTGGAACACTTTCCTAAGACACAACTTGAACACATTGACTCGTTTATTATATCAGAAATGGAAATACAAGACTTGGAAACAATTTTATTCATTATTTTGAAAGCAGGATGGCTTAAACGCTGATGCCACACATCTTGAGAAACTTTAGATGTTGCAAAAGCATGAGGATGACCAATAATTGGAGAAGAATCATGAAAATGATAAAATCCATATTTCACAGGGGCTTTAAAAAGTGTCTTCTCCGAAGAAAGATCTTTCACAATAAAGTGAAATGGATATAGATAAACAGAACACGAATTATCAAGAATGAATTTATTTGCAGAAAGCAAATCTTGTCTGAGTGCAGGCACATGTAAAACATTCTTTAGATAAAAAATATGTGAAGAAGTAGATATAGTTGAAGAGCCAGAGTAGAGAATAGGTAAACCTTTTCCATCTCCGATGTATACTTGCTCAGAACCATCGTAGGACTCAGGATTCTGCAAATTGGCATAGGAGTTGGTCATGTGCAAGCTCGCACCAGAATCAAGAAGCCAAGTGGGAGTAGTGGAGGATGTACTTGCACATAATGCCATCTGAGATTTTATGCCACAATTTGGATTCATTCGATAAGGATAATTGACAGCTTTATGATCAAATTGCTTGCAAATTTGACAAGAGATTCTTCTACCAGAATTGTTGAAACTGGATCTTGAACCACGATTATAGTGTTGATTATTCTGACGAGAGAAGTTGTTCTTCTAACTGTTATTCTGTAAGTTGAGAAGTTCCTATCTGTACCCCGATTTTGGGAATTTCTAGAGTGAGAGAAATTTCGATCCATGCCACAACCTTGATTAAAATTGGTGAAATTTTGTGCAACATACGCCTGAGAATTTACAGGATCAGGTGGTGTAGGAAGAAGGCCAGTGGATGAATTGAAAGCTTGGATAGAAGCTGATGAGGTTTTCTTGCGGTTGTTGAGTTGAAGTTCCTTACTGAGAAGAAGTCCATGTAATTCATCAATCGTAGTTGATCCAAGACGAAATTGAACATCATCAATAAATGAATCGTAGTCAGGAGGTAATCCATGAAGAGTTACATATATCAATTCAGAATCCTTAACCAGAGCACCGATGCTAGCAAGAGCATCAACGATTTCTTCAATTTGTTAAAGATAAACTACAGCGGTAGATTCTTCTTTTGTGATATTACGAAGACGATATCGAAGTTCATGGATGTGAGACTGCAAAGCCGATTCAAGTTTAGACCACAATTCCCGAGAAGATGTAACACCAACTGTGTAAGGAATCAGAGAATCGGAGAGTGTAGAGTTGATCCAGATCAAGATATTGTGATCATTTTCATGCCAAGTCACGAACTCAGGATTCAATGTAAATGTGCGATTTCCAGCCGAATTGAGAAGAAATCTAGGCGAAGCAGCCACTGAGCCATCAACAATGCCAGTGAGATTGTACCGGTGAAAATTTTGAGCGAAGAGAGCATTCCAGGTAAGATAATTCGTGGTGGTGAGCTTGATTGGAACCAAAGATCCAATATTTTGAATCGTGATTGAAGAAATCAGCGATTGAGAAGAGTTAGGGCACTAATTTGTGACTGGAGAGGGATGAATTTCAAAGTCAGATGCAGAGGAATTACCTGCCATGGTTGAAATCTAGGGTTTGGAAGAGGAAGAAAACGAAGAACTGTTCGTCGGCAAGGAAGCGGAGAGGATCAAAGGTGAGAGAGTCTTTAGACAGAGGCAATGGATACCATATTGATAATTGTGATTTCATTTCTTAATAAATAAGATTACATTGTTGGTATATATACAAACCATATAAAGCCTGTGCTTAGCACCTCATCTAACTAACATAAAGGACAGCTCACTTAACTAACCAAAAACATCCAAAACAGATAAAACAAATATAACAGATCTAAGTTTTATCCTTCACAATATTATCTCTAATAAATTCAAATAGAATATCAAACAAACCCTAATTATTTGGTTCGATTTTAATGGTGAAATTGGTCAAAATCAAACCGTTGAAAGCTAGTAGTTTGATTACGTTGTTATTGTTAATGCCAGATCGAATTAACCCATCCGGTCCACCCTAGCTGGGATGGACATGGCCGTTGGCAGTTAGCGCCAAGTTAAACCCTTAAACCTCTCCCTCTCTCTCTCTCTCTCTCTCTCTCTCTCTCTCTCAAATCTTCCCTGCAAAACTCAAACTTTGAAACCCTATACTATCAGCTCCTGGGACGTCGTTTACACTGATTTGCATCCAAAAACCCAGCAAAATGACACTTTTCTGCTAAAAGTGTGAGGCTTTCGGCTTCAATTTGAGCAACCCAGCAAGAAATGGCGCTAAATTTGCCCACTTCCTGTCCCATTTTCGCGCCACTATTGAACCCGAGCCCGACCCACAACAACCCGAATCAGCACCGCCCTCCAACGGAGGTCCGGTTCGCTCGGTGGAACAACGCCAACGCCGAGAAATTCAACCAGCGCCGGAGGGCCCAGCAAGAAATCGAGGACGACATTCGCCGGGAGCGCAGATTCGAGTCCGCCACCAGAATTGCCACTCTTTCCGACTCTGCCACTGACACCACCGCCGCCGCGGCCAACGCCACCACAAGTAGTGAAACATATAAATCCATCGGCACGCCGTCGTATCCCTCGAGCCCTTCAATCCCAGGCAAGAAATCCAAGTACTCTAAAAACCCTAACCCTACCGATTCGCACCCCGCATTCCGCCGAGTCATACGACCCACGAAGCTCTCGAAAATCCCGAGGGAGAAAAAACCGGCAGTCGACAGAAAAGCCGACATTTCCATCGGCGACGATGGGCTTTCTTACGTCATCGACGGAGCCCCGTTTGAATTCAAGTACAGCTACACCGAGACCCCTAAAATCAAGCCCATTAAGCTCCGGGAACCGCCGTTCACGCCATTCGGGCCCACCACGATGGACCGGCCATGGACGGGTCGGGCCCCATTGCCGGCGAGCAAGAAGAAATTGAAGGAATTCGACTCGTTCCAGCTGCCTCCGCCGCACAAGAAGGGGGTTAAGCCGGTGCAATCTCCGGGTCCGTATTTGCCCGGATCGGGTCCTAAGTATGTGAAGTCCAGGGAGGAGATTTTGGGAGATCCCCTGACGGTTGAGGAAGTTAAGGAGTTAGTTAAAGGGTGCATCAAAACCAAGAGGCAGTTGAATATGGGTATATCTAGAGATAATCTTCTTCCTTTGTTTTTACAGCCTTCATTTGAGATATTGATTCATGCTTGGTGAGATTGTGGAACTGGAGAGAGTTTCGATTTGGGTTTTCGATGATGAAAGTTTTCGACTTTAGAACTTCGAAATGCAGGGAACTAGTAGGAAAGGTTATGAGTTTTTGGTTTGTGATTCAGTTCATTTGGATTTTGTAGGTAGAGATGGTTTGACTCACAACATGTTGGATAACATACATGCTCACTGGAAGCGCCGGAGAGTGTGCAAGATTAAATGCAAAGGAGTTTGTACAGTCGACATGGAGAATGTGTGCGAGCAATTAGAGGTTGGTTTCTCCTTGCTGAATGGATATGTTTGCAGATGTGTTTTTCTTCCGGTGTAGTTGAATATGCTCGTCATTGTGCTTGGATATGGAGTAGTTTGAGTTATAGTATATTATGATTATTTTTATTTGTCTTTTAAGTTAATCATTCTTGGATCATATATTATTTGACAGGAAAGAACTGGAGGGAAGATCATTTACAGGAAAGGTGGAGTGATATACCTTTTCCGAGGCAGAAACTACAACTATAAAACTCGTCCTAAGTTTCCTCTAATGCTTTGGAGACCTATCACTCCTGTATATCCTAGACTGATTCAGCAGGCTCCTGAGGGTCTAACAGTAGAAGCAGCATCTGAGATGCGTAAGAAGGGACGGAATCTGATACCAATATGCAAGCTAGGTACCATGCTTATGCCTTGAATTGAATCTGAATAATAATGGCAATAAGAATGTTTCAGGTTTGGCCTCAAGTAAACTGATAATGTGTTTGATTTTAACAGGGAAAAATGGTGTATACTCTGAATTGGTAAAAAATGTCAGAGAGGCCTTTGAAGAGTGTGAGCTAGTGCGAATAAATTGTCAGGGGATGAACGCGAGTGACTACCGAAAAATAGGTGGTAAACTAAAGGTATGCTAAACTTCTAGTTTTCTTGTTTAGCAAAACATTTCTCACGTCGTGGTGATTTTCATAACAAAGCATGCTGAGCAATATTCTTTAATATGTGAATGCAGGATCTTGTCCCTTGTGTGTTAATGTCATTTGAACTTGAGCACATTCTTTTGTGGAGAGGACGGGAATGGAAGTCTTCTCTTCCAAATCCAGAGAATGATCTCAAGGAAGTCAAAGAGTCTGATGTAGATTGTTCAACTTCAATTGCATCAACATCGTGTGCTTCTGAAGTTGTGGGTGCAGAGGGAAGTGAGGATCTCTCGCCATCACAATATGTTGGGCCACGTGCCACAGTTGATGGGGTTTCTACCGTTGGAGGAACCTCTGAAACTGAACCCATTTCAGATGTTGAAGGCTATATAAACAATGAATCAGAAGCTAAAATGACTGCTGATAACAGCTCAACCATACCAGACAATATCCACTATGCTGCTGATAAGTCAAAAACTATGCCCCATACATCTGAAATGGAGCCCATGTTGGCTAATGCAGGCTGTGATGATGAAGCATCACCAACCGCAGTAATGGGCTCTGAGGCCATCGCAATGCCTATTGGAAACTCTGAAACAAAGTTGGAGTCCATCACGGCAGGTTCTGGAAGCAACGAGAATCCAGAAGATGGTTCATTAGGCACAGAAATTCTTAGTGAGCCAGCAAAGCTGAGTGCACCTTGTATAGAGAATGTGCTGTTACTCTTGAATGAAGCTGTTGATAGTGGGAGTGCACTTATTTTAGACGAGTCATCGCTGAATGCCGACATTATTTATCAACGGGCAGTTGCCTTCGCACAGTCTGCTCCCCCTGGCCCCGTGTTTAAGCATCAACGACCCAAGAAGGTAGCAGTTCTAAAGAGAGTAAAGGTTGTGAAGCAAGATGCCGGGGATCCAGAAGTGAAAGAGATAACAGTTTCTGCGGAGAGAGAAAGTGAGAAGATTCAGAAGGGTAGTAAAGTTAAAAGAATAAGAGATTTTGGTGAAAATCTAGTAGATAACGTTGTGCCACAGGGAAGTTTGAGAGTTGATGAACTTGCTAAGCTATTAGCATGAAGTTCCTGAGATCTATTTATGAATGTTAACACAGTTTTTGGTGATACAATATGACACATTATCCTACATGACTTCCTCTCCATATTTCACTTCCCATTTCTGTATTTAATTCTTGAAAATACAAAACCCCACACATTGGACTGCAGAGGTGAGAACGGGAAAGTTTGGGACAATGTCGGTGTTGATTAGTAACGGGCCATTGGACTAACTCGGAAATTTTAACATAGTATCAGAGCGAGGCTGATCCTATGGTACGATGAATCAACTGACTTGAAGGTTATGCACTTATGCATACTTCACACATTTGACATTTTTACATTTCAGAAAGGTTCTCCTGGTCAACATGTGATAAAATATGGTTACCTACTCTTAGATTTGATATCAAGACTAGAGAATAGTGAATTTCCATGTTTTGATCTCAACTCTTGATATCAATGATTCAAATCTAGCGGTGGGTGACCATGAATTATTGATCACTAGGTGACCAAACGGACGAGACTCTCCTCACATTTTAGTTACGACTTGGGGACTTATCCAAAACCTAAATGATATCCATTCCTTAAACTTTGAAAATTCTTGAAACTAATTCTTAATTATTTATAGAACTGGATTTCAGAAAACATACTATGAATAAGAAATCTGAACAATGTTTTTTGTAATAGCTAGAGAGAGATTGGTTAAACTTGTGCTCCTGACTTCCCATCTGGTTGGCTTGGCCTCCCATTGGGTCCAATTTGCTCCCCATCTCCTACTATTCTTTTCCAAAACCAATGTTTCTGAAACAGAAGATATATTTCTTCTATGGGGACCTGCTTTGTTTCTGGCAAGAGGAAGAAGATAAAGGTACTCATAATGATTATTAGACCCGCGAACAGCAGGAAAATCCCATATTGAAGATGGCAAAGCCCCGCAAGGAAACACTGCGCTATCAAAGCTGTGAAGAGGAGATTGACACAGACAACAACACTCTGCCCAGCTGATCTTGTCTCCAAGGGAAACAGCTCACTTGGAACTAGCCACCCCAAAGGACCCCATGACCTTCCATAAGCCAAAACAAATATGCAAATGACGATAACAAGGAAGATTCCTATCCCTTTTGGGAGGATTTCTCCTTGTCCAAACTTCAGGGCTAGGGTAATGGCCAGAGCAACCTGCATAAAATCAGACATTCTAGTGAGTAACTGTATACACAGTAGAAATCCGGAGAAGAACCTCCGTACTACTGAAATGTCACTATGGCAGTATCCCAAGCTAATCAAACACTGCCGTGTATTTTAACTTTCCCATGCGACAATACTTGATTGAATTGGGATACTGCCATAGCGGCATCCTGGTTACAGGCATACAGGTAATTATAAGTGGATTTACCAAGCAGCATATCATTTCAGTTCCAGCTTCTAAGAAGAAAGCTCTTCTACCAAACTTATCAACAAAACCCATTGAAATGAATGTAGCAACAACAAGTGCTCCACTTGTGAAGACAGATGAGTACAGAGCTGCCCCAGAGCCAAATCCCAAGCTCTGAAATATGACAGGTGCATAGAAGAGGATCGAGTTCATGCCGGTGAGCTGTTGGAATGCAGGGATTCCCAAGGCCCCTATCACCAATTGAGGGCGATTTTTTCGTGTGAGTAGATTCCTAAACGGGTTCTTTATGGCTCGAGCTACATTGCTAGCATCAACCAGGTCAGCAAACTCAGCATCAACTTTTTTGGTACCTCTCACTTTCTCCAGTATAATTCTTGCCTCTTCTAACCTGCCTTGCTCTACAAGACTATTTGGGGTCTCAGGAAGAAAAAGACCCCCAACAAACATAAGAACTGCTGGGACCGTAGCTAAACCAAGAGACAATCGCCAACCCCACGGATGGATTTTATCGGTTCCATAGTTTATCAAGTTAGCAACCAGGATGCCTAAGCAAGTCGTCAGCTGGAAAAGTTGGTTAACTGCTCCTCGAATTTTCGCAGGAGCCATTTCCGAGAGATACAAGGGAACTGCCTGGATTACAGAACAAGAAAGTTGTCATAAATCAGAAATCAAAATGTTGTTATTTTTCTTTGGTGGATGGATAGCATAGCATTAGGCTTACTTGATTTCCAAATCCAATGCCAACACCAAGAAGTATTCGACCGATGATCAGCATTGCAATGTTTTTTGCAGAAGCATTCAGGACTGCTCCTAGAAAGAAGCTGACAGCTCCAACAAGAATGCTGGCCTTCCTTCCTTTGTTTCGGGTAACGTACGAAGCTCCGAACGTAGAAACGAGGCCCGCAAAGTACAAAGAGGATGTAAAGAGTGTCAGAATTTGGTTATCATATTTACAGTAATCTGTCTCATTGAGGTGCAGTTGCTTCCTTCTGTAAATTTTTGGGAAGAATTCCTTTAAGAAATCATCCATGGAAGTCACTCCACCTGAAATTTACCACAGAGGTAAAAATTATTATGGTGATTTTGGAATGATATACCAAAACTCGACTATGAGATGCAGGCTCAGAACAAAAAGAATCGAGGAAGGCTCAGAAAGACTCTTATAGAGAGTATAAGAAAATATATGGAGTATTTGGAGCCAACGGAAGACTTGGCGCAATAGCGTTCTAAGATTCATATAGCCGACCCCACTTAGTGAGATAAGGCTTGGTGGTTGTTGTATATACCAAAACTAAAAGAGGCCTTTAATCACAGCAGTATATAATCCCAAATAATATGTTAATTTTGGATTGTCAATGAATGTCTTATCTAAAATAATAGTAACTTTTATTTGTAAAGACTTCTATCTATTTTTGTCAAAGGGGGAATCACAGAAAGGATAAGCTTCAATGTTAGGTGAGGAGCACATCACTGATGGTAAGTTGCAACTAAGGTATATATCATTGAAGTTTTAATTTTTTTTTTTTTTTTTTTTTTGCAACAATTTGGAAATTTAGTAAGGGAAAATGATTGCACTCCTCTTTTGTTTTGTTGCACTAATCATTTTTTTTTTTTAGCCTGAGTAATAAATTGATGGAAACATGAGTGGTGTATAATTACTTTGAAGAAAAGCTGAATCAGGATTGAAATTAAATTCCATAAAACCATCAATTTTGTTATTCAGAACACCAAACAAAGCCTTTTATTATCAGTTCCTGTATTTTTTTTTTCTGAGCAAACATAAAAAAAAAAGGTCTTCATGTTTATCTTCATATGTCCCTAAAAACTCAAATTTCATATCTCAGACACCTCCTCTAAATCTCTCAAATTAGGTCTGAAAAAACATTAGTACGGAAGGGAAGCATCAGTCAAACAAATCCGGTTCACAGGATATAATGAATCTGTAAATTACATATATGACCAGATCAAGGGTAATGCTTTTTACACTCCCGTTGTCTTCTATTTTATTCAATCACTCGATTCACAGCGAGGAGTGCATGCAAAAGAAATTATTACCTGATAAAATAAATCTAATTTATTTCAAATTTTGAATAATAAACCAGGAAGAAATCTGACCTGAAACACCAAGATCATAGCCAAAGAGAGAGCCTCCTAGAGCAGCAACAATGCAAGCAAAGACGAAATACCCAGTAATCCTATACTCATACTGCTGAGCTCTTTCAGATACTACTCCATCACCTCCAAATCCTCCTGCCATTCTCTCTCTCTCTCGCTCTCTCTCTCTTCCCAATATGTCAGTTATGGCAGTAGAACGAACGGCTTTCTGAAGAGAATGATGGGCTACAATATATAGAGAGAGAAGAGCACAAGTCTCTGTGTTTGTGTATGTACACATCTATATATATATATACATACAGGTAGGAAGTTAGAGAGATCAGCTGGAGTCAACCAATTACCAACCCAATCAGATTAGAATGAGCTATTAATAAATTGGCCAATTGACAAATTAGTCAGTTATCTATATCTTTTCTTTAATTTTATATATTATTACACATAAAACAAAACTGGGTAGAAAATTGGAAAAGGACCTGCAGCTGCATGGATTAGTTGTTTATATAACTTCCTCTTTTATACGGAACTTTTCGTTAAAAGTTCTGCCAATATTTACTTTAACGAAAAATCATATATTTACACTAAAAAGTTAAATCTGATACTATTTATTTTACTATTTATTTTATCTTTATTGTTAAAACTCAAAGTTTTCCAACCATTTTAATTAGTTTTTCTTAATTTATAATCTCAATAATTTTTTATAATTTTTTATAATTTTTTTGACATGTAATCTTGAATTTAAGCATCCAAGAATTCAACTCTAGTGGCTGGCTTTTTCCTCCATACCAAAAACCCAACCAGGTCATGTACTCATCATGCTTTTTGTCAAGTTGACCCAAACTTAAGCTTAAATTAGGGTCAAGCACGCTCCCCAGATGATTAAATTAATCGTCAATTTTATTTTAATTTGATACAAATAAAAAATAAATAAAATTGTAAAATATATGATGGGAAAGTTGATAAAAATAGTAAACAGCGGTTGAATATTTGTTATGAAAGACAATATCATGTATGGAAGATTTCCATAACTGAATGTTTCCGTGTGAAGCCCCGCATGACAGGGAGGAGTGAGTTTCGGATATTATACAGGTTTGGATGAAACTTGAAAGCAGGAGTAACATGCACAATTAGTGTTGCTATCGTTCACAAGTCCAACCATTCGGATAAGGGATAAGGAAGAAGATGAATCAATATGACCAAAAGTCTAAGTGTATACTTTTCATTGACTGGCACAAGCCATTTTATCCAATCTGGTAAAACATGCACTTAGAAAGGAATATTACTATAATCTTCTCCATAAGAAATTACACTGAATTTTGGTTCTTTGAGAGAAACAGGTAGTGTACTTATCTCCTTACAATTAAGAGTGACGATGAAGAACAAATAACATCATAATTTAACAAAAAAATACGTAATAACAAAATTAAAATTAAAAACTACAAACTGATATAGACCTTGATTGAATCAAAGAGAGAGAGAAAAAAAAAAAAAAAAAACATGTCTCATGTTAAAAACTACATCATAATTCAATGATCAGATATGATAATTTTTCAGACTTTAGTCTCAAACTATGCAAAATCATAACCAAGAAACCAAAGGTTGGCAATTGTCACACAATGATGGTGAGAGATGATGTCTCATGTTACTTTTATTCCTTATGCGGTTGGCAACTTCTGATTTGTGTTCTCAAAACATCAAAACCCTGTCGGAGTTTTGAGCTCCTTTAAGTCCCACATCGGGAAACTCAAGGAAACTTAAGGTCTTTGTGTTACTTTAGTCTCCTTTATTAGTGATTAGATGTTAGACTATTTAGAATGGGGAATGAGGCTTGGGCCACTAATTATGTGGATCAGGCTTGATGATTATATCATAATATTAATATAAATTGATATTAATTAATCATGACAAGGCCTTGGGGCACTTGGGGCCTAAGAATTAAAATTAATATGATCAATTAGTTTTAATTTTGAATTAAGTTTTTAATTACAATAAATTAAAAATGTTTTGATTAATAGACACAACTCTTTAGAAATAGTTGTATAGCTTCAGATACATCCAAAAGGTATTTGAAGAGGTACAAAATAGCCTATATAACTGGAGTCCTCAGGTCTATCGAAAATTATATTTTCTTCTTCCTTCTCTTCCGTCGAATTAGGTAGAATTAGGTAGTTGTATCCTGGTCGAGCAAACATTGTAGAACCACAAGCATAAGAGTGGGACGGAAATACTGTTCGAAGGACATAGCTTTTGCGCTAGCCTCTACCAGTTGTAATCAAGTTAGTACCATTTTAATTCTTGTATTTGTTTCTGTAATTTCATTCTATATAGCAAGTATTTTTAGTTAATAAAGTATTAGAATTTCAAGTTCTGTTATTTCTGTTATTTTTATTTATTTCTGAATTGTTCCCAACAATCTTCGAACAATATGGAACAATCAGGAACTAAACCTCATTCTGAAAAGCCTAAGAAATTTAAGGGCAGAGACTTCAAAAAATGGCAGCAGAAAATGTTGTTTTATTTGACAACCTTGAATTTGGCTAATGTTCTGCGCGAGACTATACCTACTGCAAATGGAGAAAATATTTTTTCTGCAGAAACTTTAACGGATATAGATGCCTGGAATCATAATGATTTCCTCTGCATAAACAATATTCTCAATGCATTAGATGATTCGTTGTATGATGCAGTGTTCTAAAAAAGGGCCTATGCGGCGCCTAGGCGCTGGACGGAGGGTGGCCGAGGCATTTTTGTGCAAAACGGTGGGAAAAAGTGGCTTGGCTCTAGGCGGCTGGCGGAGCTAGGCGGTTTTCTTTTTGTTTTTGTTTTTAGAGTTCCCGTGCCCTGTAGCTACCCTAATTTCAGAAACCAAGTATCTTCGTCTATTCTTCCTCAACTGCAGTGCACTCACCTGCTGCAACTTCGAGAGGTTTTCTGGGTCATCGACTCATCGTTGTTGATCGTCACTCCCAATTTCCACAATCTCCACTCTTCACCTGCTCTCGCATCTCGATTCTTTATAACTTGGTTGCGACTTCAAGTCAAGGAACTTGTCGATTACGAAGAGAGAGAGAGATTACCGGCGAATTTCTGCAACTCATCTCTATGAAGATGAGGGAATAGAGAGTGCGAAAAGAGACTGAGAGAGACAATTAAACATTCAATATGTGGTCTGTTCTGCAGCTCTCTGTGAAGATGAGGGAATAAAGAGTGCGAAGAGGGAGAGAGAGATAAACAATGAAACATTTCAATTTTTTATGGCGATGAATGGGATCTCAAATCCAAGGAAAAGTTGATAGTTTTAATTATCAAAACCATGGATGATGATGGTTATTGGTTTTAATTATCAAAACCACCCAAGGTGATGGACGGGTGATTTGAAAGAGGTGAGGTGCTGATGGGTTTAATAATCAAGACCACACACATGTACACCATAAACCCTGGCAGCAAATTTTGACTAAGCATTGGATGCCCTTCTCACTTGCCTCGAGCCCATCAAACCCAGAGGCAAACAGCTCTTTATTTCCCATTTCAAAATAGCCTTCTCGGACAGACATGGAAACTCCAAATTTGCACACATGTCGTGCATCCGAGTAGAGTGCTCCTTAGGATTCTAAAATAAAGACTAAAATATGCTCCATTTCGGAGTGTGCTTTTAGAAACCCTAAGCCCTTCTCACAGGGCTATTTATATTTTTAAAAGTTTGGGATATATATATATATATATATATATATATATATTATATATGTTATATAAATTATAAATTATTTAGATAATTTTTTTTTTTCCTAGACAAGCATATTATATATGTACATAAAACATTCACATATGTATGTTCTTCTATAAGAAATAACATATTAGTCAATAATTATTTACATTTGATATAGTAAATTTAATTAATTAATAAAATACATAAGAAATTTACCTAAATCCACCTAGGCCGCCTAGGCGCCCGCCTAGATCCCGCCTAGGCGCTAGGCGCTAGCCCACCGCCCGACTAGCGCCTAGCGTTATTTAGAACCTTGGTATGATGTCTATGAGGTATGCAAAATAGCCAAGGAACTTTGGGAATCACTTGAGAAAAAATATAAAACCGAGGATGCTAGTTCAAAGAAATTTGTCGTGGGCAAATTTTTGGACTACAAAATGGTGGATTCTAAGTTCGTTGTCTCTCAAACTGAAGATCTCCAGAAAATCATCCATGACATTCATGTTGAAGGGATGGTGATCAATGAGTTTTTCCAAGTGGCGTCCTTTAAAGAAAAACTACCACCTTCTTGGAAAGAGTTCAAGAATTATCTCAAGCACAAACGTAACAAGATGACCCTTGAGGATCTCATTATAAGGCTGAGAATAGAGGAAGATAACAGAAAGAATGAGAATGGCCTGGTTTTGAGTATGGAAGCCAAGGCAAATGTTGTTGAAGGAAGTTCATCAAAGCAAAGGTCGAAATTCCAGAAAATTAAGAAGAAGGAAAAGCACATTGTCCCTGGTGTGAAAGGCAAAGGCTTCAAGAAAATAAAGGGAAGTTGCTGGGTTTGTGGAAAGCAAGGCCATAGGGCTCAAGAATGTCGCCATCGAATGGATCAAGGTCCTGGATATCAAGGCAACAACAACCGCGCAAACCTGATTGAAAACAATGTGGATGCCCTGGCTGCAATGATTTTTGAAATCAACCTTGTATCTAACCACGCTAATTGGTGGATAGATACCGGTGCAACTTGCCATGTATGTGGTGACAAAAATATGTTCTCTTCATACCAGAAAATCGAGGGAAACGAGCAACTGTTTATGGGAAATGCATCCGCGTTTGTTGTGGCTAGAATAGGGAAATGTGTTCTGAAATTCACTTCTGGAAATGAATTAACGTTCCTTGACGTGCTACATGTCCCCAATATAATGAAGAATCTTGTTTTTGGTCCTATCCTTAGAAATAAAGGATTCAAACTAGTTTTTGAGTCTAATAAGTTTGTACTAACTAAAGGGGGAATGTTTGTAGGGAAGGGTTACATTGCTGATGGATTATTCAAACTAAATGTACTTGCTAATGCTATGAATGAAATAAATAATGCTTCTTCTTATATTGTTGATTCGTCTAATTTATGGCACTCTAGGTTAGGACATGTAAATTTTCGTTCTCTTTTTAGAATGCATAATTTAGATTTGCTGCCCAAAATTGATTATCTAATAATGTTAAATGTGAAACTTGTACATAATCGAAATTTGCAAGTCAACGCTTTAAACCAGTGCATGAAAAATCCAATGATTTGTTAGATTTAATTCATAATGACTTGTGTGATTTTAGA